AAAAAATGACACGCAATCCTACTGATTGCAATTTTCTTCAAACTTACGACAAAAAATGGGGGTCCAATTTGACCTGTCCGTCTTCGAACGTATAAGCACGTTGTACTTTTCACACTTAACTCTCTAAATGAGTCACTTTTGGAACTATACTTCAAGTACCAATCGGTTTTCGTTTGATTTTCGGTACTGTCCTGAGAAACAATAGTGAATTCGGTTCTCTTAAATTTCTCTTTTTACTTGCTTCATGATGTACTTCAAATTGTCTCACATTAAAATTTTATTTTTCATACACTTCTTCTTCTTCTTTTCTTTAATGGATAATCAAAATTCAAATCTAAATAATTTTATAAATATTTTACAAATTCATAGCTTTAATACAACACAATAGAAAAATCTATTTTTAATTCAATACTGCATAAGAATTCAAACTTATCATCNACAAATTCATAGTTTTAATGCAACACAATAGAAAAAATATATATTTAGTTCAATATTTTATAATTATTAAAAATTATCAATGTTTTTAAAGTGCTCGGCCACCAAGAATCACCATCCTTAAGAATTACTATTTATAAACAGGTTATTGTTATATGAATTTTCTTAAGAATTAATTTTCAGTCAAGATTATCGTTTATGCCGTGTTTAATAATTTATCATTTTTTTCTCCTTTATAAGTTGATCTTGAGCTTTGGAGTGGATATTTGATTGTTACCTTGTTTAGAGCATGTTTGAACCCCCATTTTTTGGTTATGAATGCATTTTGGAATAATATACTGACGTAAAATGTGTGCTTAAAAAAAAAATAGGATTGCGTGTAATATTATTTTATTAAAAAATATTTGGTTGAAAAAATATAAAAATATATTTTTTAAAAATAATGAAAATCAAACAATGGCTTAATAGATTTTTTGTATTGTTAGATTATAAGAATCACAAGTAGTTTTATGCTTTACTTTATAATTTTTTTTTCAATATAAAGAACTGGATCGAACCGAATTAGAACCGACTAGTTCCATTCTGGTTCGATTCTATAATTGGATATGGAACCAATTGTTCCATTTTTAAGATTCTCATTGATAAGAAATCGAATCGAATTAGATCGCATGCACTCTTAGACGTAAATCTAAATTTTAATTCATTTTAACTTAGATAAAAACTTTAATTTTAATTCCTACAAAATAGGGATAGCTTTTTTCAGTACAAGAATTGTCCATGAACTCCAAAGTCAAAAGAATTGTTGAG